ATTGCCTCTAAGGAAGACGTTAAGTTCCTCATCTATCTGCCCAACGGGACCGTCGTTAGAAATGTGACTGTGACACAGATGCTGACCAGAAACTTCATGACAAGGTTGTGAATAAAAGGGCTGCAGCCCTTTGGTTAGTTTCTACAGAGGCTAATCCAGTTTTAAAATGGAGAAGCCAATGGTCATGAAGACAGAAGGTTTGTCTGGAGTGGCGTACATTCCACTCGAGATGAATATATCTTGAAATACAAAGAAGTATTTCAAAATTCAAAGTAAAAATGTCACGGTCAGTGCCAGGTCCTCAGAAAAGGAGTCACAGTCTGTCACATAGAAGAGTAGGTTATGGGTCTTCTTTTATATATATGTACTTTTTGTTTGAGAGGTTTTTTTTTTGAGTGTTATTTTTAGACTTACAGAAGCACTGTGAAGCTAGCCCAGGGTCCCCACACACCCCTCACCCCCTACTCTGTCTTACTCTGCTGTGGTACATTCATCACAGCTAAGGAATCAACCCCAGTGCATTATTAGGAATCAAACTCCACAGTTTATTCAGAGTTCGCTAGCTTTTCCCTCCTGTCCTTTTCCTGTTCTAGGCTTCCCATCCACGTTACCGTGTTAAAGCTCGTCACCTTGTCTCAACCTTTTCCGGTCTGTGAGAGTTTCTCATATTTTGCTTGTTTTTGTGGCCTTGTCGGTTTCAAGGACGACTGCTCAGGTATTATGTAGAATGTCCCTCAGTTTGGGATTGTCTGGGGTTTTTCTCATGGTGAGACTGGGCTTATGGACTGTCGGGAGGGAGACCACATAGGCAGAGTACCAATGTCATCATGTCTTATCAGGAGAACATGCTATCAACGTGACATCACTGATGAAGTTGACCTGGCCAAGATCCTAGCTGCCAGATTTCTCACTGTGGAGTTCCTTTCCCCTCTTTCCATCCTGTCCTCTCTTTGGAAGGAAGTGACTGTGGTGAACCCACACTTCAGGGGTGGGGAAGTATGCCCCTCCTCCCTGAGAGGCGAGCAGCTACGTAAATCACTTGGAATTCTGTGCTGGGGATGTGTTCCTATTTGTTTATTTGTATCGGTGTGGACTCATGGGTGTTTATTGTGTGCTGTGCGTCCTAACTCAATACGACATCATTTATTTTCTTGCTCACATTCTTCCAGATTTACCGTTAGGAGCTCTTTCTTCTGGGCTCCTGTGCCCTTGAATATATTGTTGCAAGCTGATCATCTTGTGTATTTCCCACCCTAGTCCTAGAATCAACCACGTCTCCAAGGAGCCCTGGTTCCTTTTACTGCAGAGTAAGTAGAAAAACCAAGATCTGGGCACGGAGCTGGTTGTTCTGTTTTGCTGGCTGCTCCCTAATGAGATAATGTTGACAGCGAACTCTGCAGCAGGAAAGCTAACCCAGTGGCTAATCCAAGGAACAAATCGTGTTTACTGTCGGTAGTTTATTAGGTTTGTGTTCTGGTTTGGAAAAGTCGATGTCATTAGCTCTCTGCAAACATTTGAAGAACACAGCATGTCCTGGTCAACGGGGAGGGCATGTTCTGAGTCAGAACTACTCTGGGTGAACTCGGCAGAGTGATACTTTTCCTGGAAGATCCTTTGCGAGGTTAACTTCTAGAGCTTCTTGCTTTCTGAAACGGACTGGTTAAATCTGATGATTATGCCTGGGCTCAGCATGCTTCTCAGAGAAAGCGGACCTGCAGACAGGTGTTGCATCTTCTAATCAACACCATAGCTGCTTCTGAGTTGCCAGTATTCCTTTCTGGGCAATGCAGGAAATAGTCTTTTGTTTTGTTTTGTTTTGTTTTTTGAGAACTTTCTGGAAGGCAAGGAGCATTTTCAGACTGGAAGCATGGCAAAGGCAAAGGCTCAAATTCAGAGACTTCAGGGAGAAAAAGAAAGGAAGCTTCGATACAGGCGATGTCCCCTCCCTTTAAATAGTTACCTGTGATTGCTGAAGCCCCGGACCAGAGAGGGTGTTCAGTTACGTTATTCTCGAAAAGACCCCATCTAGGCGCTAGGTGTGGGGCTGAGAACTGAGGAAGCACCTCGGTGGCATGTGGCCTTGATGGGGGCATGTCGGGTGTGCCTGGCACAGATAGATGCCGGATAGAGAACAGAGTGGTTTAGTGGTGCCAAGACAAAGCATACTGTGGGGTTTTAGAATGATGCATCGGAGCCACCTTCCTGGGAAGGCCTACTGGAGATCCACTGCACCTCACCGTTTGGCTTCCAAGGCACCAGAACTGCTGTCACCCACCCAGATTACTTGATATTAATGTAAATGTCTCACATGATTTGGGGTTTCTACACATCTCACTATCCTGTGTCGTCAGGGTGGACTCTTTCCTCCGAAGCTTGCCGATCCTCTCCTCCAGACAGTGAAAAGCCTCCAGCAGAACTTTATCCATGCGGAGAAGCCAGGGGAGGAGCTACCCTTGCTTGCACCTTCCTCTCCGACGTGCAACAACACCCTCCTTTTTCCTTGCTTTGTTGCCATCTAAAAGCCACTTTCCAGTGATTTTGCAAAGCACTGAGAGATTGCAGCAGGAGGCATTCTCTCTCCTTCAGATGATCAGTGGCTACAAGCTGAGTAAGGAATGCCAGTGATTTTCCTGGAAGCCTAAGTTTGTTTGGGGGGTTTTGGAGGGTTGGTTTTTTTTTTTAAACAGAGTTTGGCCTAGATTCTGCTCTGACCATGAAGGAAACCCAGGATAGCTTATCCTCCATTGGTCCTAATGCACAGTCAAGTCCAGCGTTGGGGCGGTGCTCACTTATCTTACTTCTTTACAGCTTTACTGCTATGGAAAATATATGGAAGGAGGGCTGATGGATCTAGTTGTCAAGAAAGTGAACTGTGTCCCCGTGCAGTGCTCGGTGGCGTTGTGAAGTTGTGACAGGAAGTTGCCGCCATCCCTGGGCTGGAGGCATGAGCAATGTCTCGCCATTCAAGGCTGGCAGCTCTGTGGTGAGAAAAGAGGACAGGGCCACTTGTCCAGGCCACTCAGTAATAAAGCCCCAAGTTGCTAGATCTAAGGAAGTGTTTTTGTGTACGTGTCAGAGATGGGGCGTAAGTCCTGGCAGCAGGCAATAGGGTTAAATGATAGTACATCTGTCATTTCTGAAAACCAAATGGGATATCCTTCCCAGATGCTGAAAAATACATGCTAGAATAAGATTCCATTGCATTTATAAAGTGAAACATTTATAATAGGTCCTCCAAGTTATTTTTTTTAATGTATTTCAACACAATAGTAAGTAGGACCAGCCTAATTCCATGAAATTTAATTTACCCAAAGCCTAAAGGATGTTATATTATAAGATTTCAGTGTTCTGTTTTCACACGACTGCAATTCATTTTATAATGTATTCACTCTCATTTTAGAGAAGAATCATGTGCATGGTAAGAAAGGGAGAGAAAAGTTTTATGGAACTGGCATCTTCTAACAACATTCTCTTACAAAGTTATATTATTACATTTCTAAATTCAGTTTTTTTATACACCCACGGAGCTTAGAGTCGGCCCTCTAAGGACTGCTCCCTACAATAGCTGCTCTCCCCACTTGCCCTCCCCCCTTCTACTCCCGGATCTTCAGATCTCTTGGTGGATTCTGACTATGATATACTCTGACACCTAAGTCTGATTCCCATCCTTTCTTTAAAAAAAAAGTTAGTTTTCCCTGGACTTAATCATTGTCTTAGCTATAATTTTTCTTAGCTTTCTAAAAGCTAAATGGTAATTACTTACAACTCATTTATTCCTACCTTTTCCCTTAGTTCCCGAAACCCCCTTTCCTGTGTTCACACACATTTTGCTTCCTGTCTGTTTCATGCTCTCAAAGAAGCATCTCCAAGGCTCTTCCGAGCAGCTCTAGTGCTGACCAGCTCTGACCTGTGGGCCTGTCTTGCCTTCCTGGGGTCTCTCCTTACCCCCACCCCAGGGATTCCTGTGCCTTTTTTGTTTTCTTATTGTGATCAACCCTGCATCTTTCTTTTTCTTCATCTACGACTCCTTTGCTTTGGCAGAGTGTACCCTACAAGAGCTTCTTGAAAAAGTGTGCATGGAGGGCTAAATTTTTTGAGGCCTTGAACATCTGAAAATGTCTTTCTTCTAAACACACTTGATTGATGGTTTGGTTTCAAGTTCTAGGACAGAAATCATTTTCCCTTCTAATTTATTGCCCCGTATCTCCTAACTCTCAGTGCTAGCTCCTAGCTGTCTAAAGCAGGAAGCTCTGAGAATCTGGTTTGTCCAGTGCCCATGCCCAGTGGGTCTTTTTTCATCCACTGTGCTATGTCCACATAATGGACCCTTTTCAGACTTGAAATTTGTATCTTTCAGCTCTCAGACTGTCAGTCTGGAACTCCTATTATCTGAATGTTGAACCTCTTACACGGGTCCTTTATTTATGTTTTTAAAATCCCTTCTTGCGTACGTCCCATGTCTTTGTATTCTGCCTTATCTTTGTTGTAGACTTTCTCAACTTTACCTGTCATTTAATGAATTTTTCATTTCTGCCTTTATTATTTTTTAATTCCCAGAACTTCTTTCCTGTTCTTTGAAATGTCCTTTTCGTAACACTTCCATTCAGTTCCTGTTTCATGGGTAGTGTCTTCTCTCATCACTGAGACTATCACTGGGCAAAGGTTTTCCTCCTTTCTCTCCTTTCCTCTCCCTTCCCCTCCCCCCACTCTGTCTCTTGTCGTTGTCTGTTTCCTCTGGGGGTTTTTTCCCTCTTTGTTTTAGCCTCTTCATATTAGAGTTCTTCCTGAAAGCCTGGTGATCCCTGGTTGTCTCCTCGTTTTTATAGGTGGGGCACTAGAAGCTGGCTGGGAGCTGTGCACATGTGGGTGAGGTTTATATCCCTGTGTGGGCCTCACTGATGGCTGGGCTGGTGGGGCTGCTTTGTCAGGAGCCTCCAGTTTTTAGGAACTTGGGGTCTTCTCTCTTGGTGGGTCAGATTCCTCAGCGATCACTCTGGGTCTCCTGCCTGTCAGGGGACTTAACTGGCTTCCCGTGTTCTGGGGGCTGAGTAGAGGAAGAAGACCAGACATTCGATATGTCATCCTTCCCTTAATCCCTCTGTTTCCTGTGCAGTAATTCTGCCCTCAACCGTGCTGGTTTTACTTTATTCAGAGACTAAACTCCAGTAAGTTCGGGGAGGCACAGCCACCAGCTGTGCAAGGGGAACTGTGGACGAGCGGCTTATGAACTAGACTTTCCACGGCCTGCCTTCATCCCCACTTCTAGAAGGACCTGTGGCCACGTTCCCTGATGGGTGGGGAAGGGAAGGGCAGGAGACAGCTCCACTTTCCCCTGTCAGTTTAGGATTCTAGTTTCTTGAGTTTGTTAAACTGGTTTACCCATCTGCTTTCCCAAGTTCCAAATTTTGTGGCTTTTGTCTCTTCTTCTCTTAACTAGACTTTGAAAAGCTTCCAGGCCTTTCATTTATCCAGATGTTACCATTTCCTTCTTTCAGTAGGTGTGCTGATTCAGTGCAGTTCTGCAAGCATCCAGATGCTTTCAGGTCACTTTTTACTTTTTGGTTAAAGCTGTAAAGATTACATTAATACACGCGTTCACCCTGAACTAACTGAGCTATCCAACAGCCTAGGTAAGCCTTCCACACTGGCCCGATTACCCACTTGGATGCCTGCCCATCTGCTGGGCTCCCTCCTGGGCAGGTGTGGCGAATGGGCCAGTGCCTGTATTGTCAGGTAAGAACAGAGCAAGTGGTGGCAGCTCGAGGACTGGGGTGCCAGCCCCCCATCGGCCCAGCTCCTCAGGGGTCACGTACTACCTGACTGTCTCATTTCACTCATGTATGCCTTTCCTAGTAACCCTGCCTCCTGTCTTTCTCCCAGCTCTGTTTTGTGATGTTCTGGACCCCCAACGTGTCTGAGAAAATTTTGATAGACATCATCGGCGTGGACTTCGCCTTTGCAGAACTCTGCGTGGTTCCTTTGCGCATCTTCTCCTTTTTCCCAGTTCCAGGTAAAGGAAAACAGAATGAGAGGAAAATTCCTATTTACCCGTAGGCCCTATCCAGTCTTTTTTCTTTAGAAACATTTGCAGCCCTGTCCCAAACAAAAAATGGGTTGTTTTTTTTTTAATTCACAGTGGATTAAAAAGATGCAAAGACATTATCCAGTGGGTTGAAAGTTTGAGAAACAAGTCAAACAGGCAGCATTTTTTTCTTAAAGGACCAGGCCTTCCACTTCCTTAAACTCCTTCCAGGTTTAGATCAAACCTAAACATTTGCCAAGGGTGTCTGTGCCCCCAAACCAGCCGTTTAGTACTTCACACACCGGCCACTGAGCCCCGCCTCAGTGCTGGCCTGTGCCCTGCCTGGCCTCCCCAAGCTCACACATCAGGATGGGGAGATGGGGGATACAGAGCACTCTGCAAGTCTTTATGAAATACCAAAATGGGGGAGGTGGCCGTAGACCAGTGGTCAGGAGGCAGGGGAGGAGACAGGGAAGTGAGACAGGTCCCTTTTCTCCCCCCCATGCCTCTCCCCTCCGCACCTCCCCCAGCCTGTGGGCCGGAAAGACCTGGCTTCTGGTCCAGCTTAACTCCCAGAATCAAAATGGATCACCATCAAGTTACCGCTTTTCTCTGAGTTTTCTAGACAGGAGGGATCAGCGCTTGAGGCTGGGCCGAGGTGGGGGTGGCCAGAGTAGCAGCTCTCCCCTCTCCCCACCCCCACTGGGAGATGGTGGTCACGGTGGGGAGTGGCCCTCAACCTGCTGTCTGGACACAAAGGGCTATGATGGGGGAGCCGAGGTGGGGACGGGCTCCCCCAGGCCCAGAGGCGGCATCAGAAGCCCCCCCAGTAAGATGAGGTGACCCACTCAGGGCAACAGCAGCAGGGCCTGGGCCCCACCCGGCTGCCCCAGGACCTTGGGTCTGCTGCAGGGGAGACAGGGCGAGAGGTGCAAGTCAGGGAGAGGCAGGATGTCGCTGACCAGTCCTTGGCTCTCCCGTCAGTCACCGTAAGGGCCCATCTCACCGGGTGGCTGATGACTCTGAAGAAGACCTTGTCCTGGCCCCCAGCTCCGTGCTGCGGATCGTCGTCCTCATCGCCAGCCTTGTTGTCCTGCCCTACCTGGGGTACGTTGCCAGGGGCTGGGGTACATCGCCGGGGGGCTGGGGTGCGTCGCCGAGGGGCTGGGGGTACACGTCGACGTCGGGGGCTGGGGTACCAGTCCGGG